AGAAAAACTACTGGATACTTAATAATATTTCTTAACTATACAAAACTCATACTCATTTGCCTGACTGTTAGTACAAAAGCATTATTAGTACGAGTTTATTAAATACAAAAAATAAAAGATGGAAAAATATTTCTTTATGCCAAACATCATTATCCACATTTTACAACCACTGACAGAGACTGAAAGCAAAAAAAGAAAACAAGAAACTATGGTAGCACTACTCGTACTACTGCCATGTACTTCCACTTGTAATCTTTCAATGAACTACTGGAAGTACTACTTAGTACTCATACAAGTTAAAAGTATACGATTATTTATGAAAGGCACCCAGTCAGGCAAGTCAGTCAGGCTGGCAGTCAGTCAAAGCCAAAGCAGCTAGTCAGCCAACCAGCCAGCCTATAGACCAATATCATTATATTTTACTACTATTAATGTATACAATCAGTTTTTTCAGCTTTTTTGCTGGTCTTTGTAATGAAGTAATGAAAAATGTGAAAAAATGTTGAAAAAAAATATCATAAGTATATTCTCAGATACAATGACTTCTTTGTAATGGATAATGATGCCTGATGATGTTAACATTTTCTACTATTTTTTTTCATCTCATTTTCAGTTATTTATTTTTTTGCTTTTGCTATTTTATGTTATTTATGATGATGCTGTAATAAAACTTAGTGTGAAGTATTATACAATTAGGTTTAATTAATAAAAATCTAATTATGATTAAAAGGGGGCTTTAGGAAATACTTCTAAACATGAAATATGAAATAAATACAACAAGAAAACTAACTAAATCTGGTATTGAGTTTTTAAACAAGTTTTTTTTTCATATTTTATTAATTATGTTTTTGCAAAAGATATGTATATGACTGTAAATAAATTTTTTTGCCAATTCAGTTTTATTTTGGAGAAAAAAACTTGCCAATTAATATTTCAGACTTGTTATAGAAATATTAAGTAATGATTTAGAGATTATGGTCAGTGGGAAATTGTTTTACTGGTAAAAGGAAGTATGAATATAGTATTTCCTAATTTGTAACCTAAACTAGCAGTCGTATAGATGACTCAACACCAAAAAAGGCCTTGGTTTTAAAAACTTTACAGAAAGACATGCTCAAAACATACATTTGCTTTCAGTCTAGCTCGTAATCTATGGTCTAGTCTATGATATAGCCTATTATTTAGCTTACAATCTAGTCTATAGTGTAGTATATAGTCTAGTGCATAGTTTAGTCTATAGTCTAGTTTAAAGTCTTTTCTATAGTCCAGCCTATACAGTATATTCTATAATCTAGGCTAAAGGCCAGTCTTTAGTCCAGTCTACAGTCTAGTCTATAGTCTAGTCTATAGTCTAGTCTAGTCTAGTTTAGTCTATTCTAGTCTATAGTCTAGTCTATAGTCTAGTCTATAGTCTAGTCTATAGTCTAGTCTATAGTCTAGTCTATAGTCTAGTCTATAGTCTAGTCTATAGTCTAGTCTATAGTATAGTCTATAGTCTAGTCTATAGTCTAGTCTATAGTCTAGTCTATAGTCTAGTCTATAGTCTAGTCTATAGTCTAGTATAGTCTAGTCTATAGTCTAGTCTATAGTCTAGTCTATAGTCTAGTCTATAGTCTAGTCTATAGTCTAGTCTATAGTCTAGTCTATAGTCTAGTCTATAGTCTAGTCTATAGTCTAATCTATAGTCTAGTCTATAGTCTAGTCTATAGTCTAGCCTATAGTCTAGTCTATAGTCTAATCTATAGTCTAGTCTATAGTCTAGTCTATAGTCTAGTCTATAGTCTAGTCTATAGTCTAGTCTATAGTCTAGTCTATAGTCTAGTCTATAGTCTAGTCTATAGTCTAGTCTATAGTCTAGTCTATAGTCTAGTCTATAGTCTAGTCTATAGTCTAGTCTATAGTCTAGTCTATAGTCTAGTCTATAGTCTAGTCTATAGTCTAGTCTATAGTCTAGTCTATAGTCTAGTCTATAGTCTAGTCTATAGTCTAGTCTATAGTCTAGTCTATAGTCTAGTCTATAGTCTAGTCTAGTCTAGTCTATAGTCTAGTCTATAGTCTAGTCTATAGTAGTCTATAGTCTAGTCTATAGTCTAGTCTATAGTCTAGTCTATAGTCTAGTCTATAGTCTAGTCTATAGTCTAGTCTAGTCTAGTCTATAGTCTAGTCTATAGTCTAGTCTATAGTCTAGTCTATAGTCTAGTCTATAGTCTAGTCTATAGTCTAGTCTATAGTCTAGTCTATAGTCTAGTCTATAGTCTAGTCTATAGTCTAGTCTATAGTCTAGTCTATAGTCTAGTCTATAGTCTAGTCTATAGTCTAGTCTATAGTCTAGTCTATAGTCTAGTCTATAGTCTAGTCTATAGTCTAGTCTATAGTCTAGTCTATAGTCTAGTCTATAGTCTAGTCTATAGTCTAGTCTATAGTCTAGTCTATAGTCTAGTCTATAGTCTAGTCTATAGTCTAGTCTATAGTCTAGTCTATAGTCTAGTCTATAGTCTAGTCTATAGTCTAGTCTATAGTCTAGTCTATAGTCTAGTCTATAGTCTAGTCTATAGTCTAGTCTATAGTCTAGTCTATAGTCTAGTCTATAGTCTAGTCTATAGTAGTCTATAGTCTAGTCTATAGTCTAGTCTATAGTCTAGTCTATAGTCTAGTCTAGTCTAGTCTAGTCTAGTCTATAGTCTCTATAGTCTAGTCTATAGTCTAGTCTATAGTCTAGTCTATAGTCTATAGTCTAGTCTTTAGTCTAGTCTATAGTCTAGTCTATAGTCTAGTCTATAGTTTAGTCTATAGTCTAGTCTATAGTCTAGTCTAGTCTATAGTCTAGTCTATAGTCTAGTCTATAGTCTAGTCTATAGTCTAGTCTATAGTCTAGTCTATAGTCTAGTCTATAGTCTAGTCTATAGTCTAGTCTAGTCTATAGTCTAGTCTATAGTCTAGTCTATAGTCTAGTCTATAGTCTAGTCTATAGTCTAGTCTATAGTCTAGTCTATAGTCTAGTCTATAGTCTAGTCTATAGTCTAGTCTATAGTCTAGTCTATAGTCTAGTCTATAGTCTAGTCTATAGTCTAGTCTATAGTCTAGTCTATAGTCTAGTCTATAGTCTAGTCTATAGTCTAGTCTATAGTCTAGTCTATAGTCTAGTCTATAGTCTAGTCTATAGTCTAGTCTATAGTCTAGTCTATAGTCTAGTCTATAGTCTAGTCTATAGTCTAGTCTATAGTCTAGCCTATAGTCTAGTCTATAGTCTAGTCTATAGTCTAGTCTATAGTCTAGTCTATAGTCTAGTCTATAGTCTAGTCTATAGTCTAGTCTATAGTCTATAGTCTAGGTCTATAGTCTAGTCTATAGTCTAGTCTATAGTCTAGTCCTATAGTCTAGTCTATAGTCTAGTCTATAGTCTAGTCCTATAGTCTCGTCTAGTCTAGTCTATAGTCTAGTCTATAGTCTAGTCTATAGTCTAGTCTATAGTCTAGTCTATAGTCTAGTCTATAGTCTAGTCTATAGTCTAGTCTATAGTCTAGTCTATAGTCTAGTCTATAGTCTAGTCTATAGTCTAGTCATAGTCTAGTCTATAGTCTAGTCATAGTCTAGTCTATAGTCTAGTCCTATAGTCTAGTCTATAGTCTAGTCTATAGTCTAGGTCTATAGTCTAGTCTATAGTCTAGTCTATAGTCTAGTCTATAGTCTAGTCTATAGTCTAGTCTATAGTCTAGTCTATAGTCTAGTCTATAGTCTAGTCTATAGTCTAGTCTATAGTCTAGTCTATAGTCTAGTCTATAGTCTAGTCTATAGTCTAGTCTATAGTCTAGTCTAAGTCTAGTCTATAGTCTAGTCTATTAGTCTAGTCTTATAGTCTAGTTCTAGTCTATAGTCTAGTCTATAGTCTAGTCTATAGTCTAGTCTATAGTCTAGTCTATAGTCTAGTCTATAGTCTAGTCTATAGTCTAGTCTATAGTCTAGTCTATAGTCTAGTCTATAGTCTAGTCTATAGTCTAGTCTATAGTCTAGTCTATAGTCTAGTCTATAGTCTAGTCTATAGTCTAGTCTATAGTCTAGTCTATAGTCTAGTCTATAGTCTAGTCTATAGTCTAGTCTATAGTCTAGTCTATAGTCTAGTCTATAGTCTAGTCTATAGTCTAGTCTATAGTCTAGTCTATAGTCTAGTCTAGTCTAGTCTATAGTCTAGTCTATAGTCTAGTCTATAGTCTAGTCTATAGTCTAGTCTATAGTCTAGTCTATAGTCTAGTCTATAGTCTAGTCTATAGTCTAGTCTATAGTCTAGTCTATAGTCTAGTCTATAGTCTAGTCTATAGTCTAGTCTATAGTCTAGTCTATAGTCTAGTCTATAGTCTAGTCTATAGTCTAGTCTATAGTCTAGTCTATAGTCTAGTCTATAGTCTAGTCTATAGTCTAGTCTATAGTCTAGTCTATAGTCTAGTCTATAGTCTAGTCTATAGTCTAGTCTATAGTCTAGTCTATAGTCTAGGCTATAGTCTAGTCTATAGTCTAGTCTATAGTCTAGTCTATAGTCTAGTCTATAGTCTAGTCTATAGTCTAGTCTATAGTCTAGTCTATAGTCTAGTCTATAGTCTAGTCTATAGTCTAGTCTATAGTCTAGTCTATAGTCTAGTCTATAGTCTAGTCTATAGTCTTGTCTATGTCTAGTCTATAGTCTAGTCTATAGTCTAGTCTATAGTCTAGTCTATAGTCTAGTCTATAGTCTAGTCTATAGTCTAGTCTATAGTCTAGTCTATAGTCTAGTCTATAGTCTAGTCTATAGTCTAGTCTATAGTCTAGTCTATAGTCTAGTCTATAGTCTAGTCTATAGTCTAGTCTATAGTGTTGTTGATCGTTTCTTTATTTTTTAATCAATGAAAAAAATATTACAAAAAATTATATTTTTAAATCTATGTATAACATGTTTCAAATTTAGTTTTTAAACAAAGTATTTTTTATACAAAGTAAACTCAAAACTCCAACATTCTCCCCCCTGTGAATCAACCTGATTCACCATTTCCTAATGTTAAAATGGCTAATTTAGAAGCAGGTCGACGTATTATGCCTTTGCTAGTTTTTATTTCAGCAAAACGAATTGTACCATCTTTTGCAGGAAAAACTTTCACTATACGTCCTTTTAACCATTGATTTCTAGGTAAGTCTCTATCAAAAATGAGCACGATGTCATCGATCTTCAAAGGAATTTGTTTATCCTTCCATTTAGATATTTGAATGAGCTGGGGAAGATATTCTCGAATCCACCTGTTCCATAATCGATCTTTTAGATTTTGAGCAATTTTCCATTGTTTACGCAGACAAATATTTTCATCAGATACACTGGGTGTTTGCGTTGAGTTAACACAGCCTATTAGAAAATGGTTTGGTGTAATTGGTTCATCTTCATCCGAGTTAATAGGAATATCGGTAAGAGGTCTTGAATTTAGGATATTCTCCGCCTCAATCAATAAGCTTCTTAAAGTTTCCACTTTCGGCGAAGTATCTTTTAGAGTTTTACTCAGAAGTCTTTTGATTATTCGAATCAGACGTTCCCATACTCCTCCAGAGCTTGGATTGCCTGGGCAATTGAACAACCATTCGATGTTTCTATTTATCGCCTCTTCTTGAATTTTGTCTACGTCAAATAGTCTATCTTCTTTCTTGAGTAACTTTTGGGCACCAATAAAATTAGTCCCATTATCGCTTCTGATTCTAATTGGGGTACCTCGACGATTTACAAAGTTACGAAAACATAGAATAAATGCATCGGTGGATAGTTCATCAGCTAGTTCAATATGTACAGCACGTATTGTCAAACATGTGAATATTACTGCCCATCTCTTTTCTCTTCTACGACCAACAGAAACGTTGAAAGGTCCAAAGAGATCTACACCAGTGTAAGTAAATGGTCGCACGAACGGTGTAATACGATCGGGTGGTAGTTGTCCCATTAAAGGTACCTTAGGTTGGATAGTGTCGTACTTACATATAAGACATTTACGTTTAACTTTCTTGAATAATGATTTTGCATGTGGAATCCAATATTTTTGACGTAATTCATTTATAGTTAAGTTCATATTTTGATGGTGATTTTTATTGTGGTAATAATTCATAATTAGTTCGGAGACCAAATGATTTTGTGGCATTATAATTGGTCTTCGGGCTTCAAATGGAAGGTAAAAAACTTCATCAAAACGTCCTCGAATACGAAGTATACCTTCTTCATCTAAATAAGGAACAAGTGGATACAAAGTACTGTCTTTCGGAATTCGTTCTTTTTGTTGAAGACATGTTATCTCCTCTAAGTAGCATTCATGTTGTACCATTTTACAAAGTAGTTTTTCGGCTTCACTAATCTCTGAAGGTTGTAACAATTCACAATTGAAATTATGTCTTCCAAACCGTAATACCCATGCTAAAGTTCTCACAAGTTTCTTGAAAGATGAAAAACGACTATAATCCAACATCTGGTAAGTAGAGCTTCTTTTTATGACCATGGTTGGCTGTAGTTCTTCTTCAATGGGAACGCTTGGTAAATCCATACCTGTCTTTGGCCATGAACTACTATCGGCTTGCAGATATTTGGGACCAGATATCCAAATACCATTGTTGTCAAATTTTGGGGGTAGTGAAACTCGTGTGCCAGCATCGGCTGGGTTTTGTTGGCTAGGTACATGTCTCCATTGTTGTGGCGTAGATATATTTAAAATTTCTGCAATACGGTGACTAACAAAGGCTTTGAATCGTCTTTCAGTTGAATTAATCCATTGAATTACTGTCTGCGAATCTGACCAAAAATGTATTGACGAGATGCAAACTTCATGGTTTTGCTGAATAATTCTACTCATACGAACTCCCAGTACTGCGGCTTGAAGTTCCAAACGTGGTATGCTCATTAATTTCAGCGGGGCACATCTAATTTTTCCCATTACAAAGGCAACTTTGCATTCATTTTCATGTTGAATACGAAAATAGCATACCGCTGCAAAGGCATCTTGACTTGCATCTACAAAAACGTGTAACTGAATATTTGCACAGAATAGGTTTTGGGATAAACAACGTGGTACTTTAAAGCGGCTAATATTTTTTAACTCGTTCCACCAAACCTTCCACTTTTTATATAATTCATGTGGAATAGGATCATCCCAGCCAATTTGAAGCTTCCATGCTTTTTGTATCAATATTTTGGAGTACAACAAAAAATCAGCAACCAATCCATAAGGATCAAATACAGCCATAGCAATTTTAAGTAATTCTCGTTTTGTTGGAACTCGAGTACCATCCATTACTTTCTGATCGAGAGTGTGAAATTTTGTTTTAAATTGAAAGACATCTTCTGTTTTGTCCCAATACATTCCGAGAATTTTTTGAGCAGTGGATTGTTTTTCCATGTTCACTAGTTCTGTATTTTGAGTTAAAGCGCAGTTCATAGTGTCTTCCAGCTTCTTACTATTTGAAATAAAACCTCTTAACTCAAATCCGCCTTCGGAATGAACTTTTTACGACTTGCTGACAAATTGTGATAGCTTCGTTTTCAGATTTAAAGCTACACACAAAGTCGTCGACGTAGTGATTTTCTATAATGGCTTTTGAGGCTTCAGGGAATTTGTGTGAAAATTCAATAGCATTATAATTTTTAACGTACTCCGCACAACAAGGAGAGCAAATAGCACCAAATGTCATAGATACCATTGCATATTCTTCAATTTCACTATTCTCTTTTTCACACCTCCACAGAAATCTTTGCGCGTGTTGATCTTCTTGACGTATTTTTATCTGCGAAAACATTTCACGAATATCTGCAGCAACAGCTATTTGACCTTGCCTAAATTTTAGCAGTATGCCTAGCAACGGCTTTGCTTGTTCAGGCCCTTTGAGCAATAACGAATTAAGAGAAATTCCTGATGTTTTGGCTGCTGCATCAAAAACAACCCTCAATTTATCTGGTTTATGAGGATTTACAACACCAAAGTGTGGTAGATACCAGACTGGGAATGTATTTTGTTTGACTTCTTCTTCAGATAATTTACGTGCATAGCCTTTGTCAAGATATTTATTTATTTCAAGACAATATTTTTGAGCGTAAGAAGTATTGTGAGAAAATTTTTTCTCAATTAATTTCAAACGATTTTCTGACATATTGTAGCTTGAAGGCATCTTTGGAGGATATTTCTTCCACAGCAAACCTATTTCAAAACGATTTCCTATACGCTTTATCGTATTCTCCATAATTTCTTTGGCGACTTGATCATCATCAGACAGTAAGGGTTTCATATTAGGATTCACACCAAAATTTTCTGTCGCCAGGAAATCATTAACAATATTTTTGAGTTCGTCGTCTTTGACAAATAATATAGTAGGGTGAGCAGTATAATTCTTTACTAAACCATATACTAGCCAGCCAAGTTTACATTGCATAGCAATTAAGTCACAATCATTGGATTCTTTGACGGAATTAGGAGTACCAAGAAAAGCATTGTCTAACCCAAGAAGAATTACTGGTTTGGCATCAATGTAGTCTTCTAAAGGTAAACTTGCAAAGTTTGTAGAACATTTTTTAGAAAACGATTGACAAGGTAAATCAAGCTTCTTTATTGTGTGGACATTTTTGAGGGGGAATCTCATTTTTGGAATACATGTTCCTTCTATTTCCAAGTTTACAAGGTAAGACTCTTCATTTACAGTTTTTTCTCCATACCACTGGAGAGTGAGATTTGATGACTTCCCCTTTAAACCCAGAAGCTTGGAAGTATTTTCATCAATAAGCGATATAGACGATCCTTCATCAAACATTGCATATGTCTTAAAAGAACCAAGAGGACCAGTCAATGTTACAGGCAGTATTTTAAACATTTTACTTGCCTGTAGGTATTTTCTGCAATTTAACATCTGATTTGAAGCTTGTTCGGCTTGTTCGACAGCTACAGTTCCAAGACTAGTATCTACTGTTTCTCCATCTTTGTGAAGACTTTTATGGTGATACTTTTTGCAATTATTGATATTGCAAAGTTTTTTAGAACGACAATTATTAACACTATGTCCCTTTCGGAGACAACTGAAACACAATTTTAACTGCTTAATTTTTTCCCAACGCATTGGTAAAGTCATGTCTTTAGTAAAAGCTTTACAGGCAGACAATGTATGATCACCATCACATATAGTACATTTGACGTTCGACTTTTTGTTACTATCAAGAACTACCATTTGTTTGACAGGTTGGCTTTGTGACGAGGATACATAATTTGGCATTAAACTGACTACTTTCGCTAAATCTCCAAGCCATTTCGAAAAGTCCGTAACTGTTGGAAATGGTTTTATAATGGAGGCGCTTTTTACCCAATCAAATTGTTGATCATCCGGAAGTTTGGAGACCATTTCTTCCAATAGTGTTGTACTCATAAGATGATGACTACATCCAGCGGACGTTAGAAATGCCACAACATTTCTTACTTTCGTAGAGAAAATTATTATTTGGTCCATTTTCTTACGATTTATAACTGGAAACTGTTGTATTTTTTGAAGTTGGGATCGAACCAAAATATCCGGACGTCCAAATCGAAATTCGAGTTCTTCAATGACATTAGGTACGTTATCGGGATAAACCAACATTGATGCAACTGCTTCTCTAGCAGTTCCCGCAAGACATTTCTGAAGACGCATCAAATTCTGGCGATCATTATATTTAAAAGTTTCAGTAGTGTCCTTATAATTGGCAATAAATAACGGCCACTCATCTGGGTTACCGGAGAATAATGGCAAATCATAGAGCTTACACGACGGCTCAAATGTTGGGACAAATTGTTGACTAAACGCACGTCTCTCTTCAGGTACATGGCAAGGAGCAGTTGCTTCTGCAGGAAAATAAATTGAATTTCCTAAATCCTGTTGAGGCTGCTGATAGCTCGGGGTACAAGGACTAGGAGCACGCGGATTAGTATCAGTGGCACTATGAGTACAAGCAGCAGTAGTACAATTTCTATCAATAATACTATTAGCGGTAGGAGTATTTCTGTTCAGAGCAACTTGAGACGTTCCAGGTTGTTCATTGGGTAAATTAGTTGTTGATGGGATATTCCGAATCTGCTGTTTCAACAAATCAATATCGTTACGGCTTTCCACTACCACTTTTGCTAGGTTATTTAAACTGGCAATAACATCGGCTAATTGACTGCTTACTGATGGTGGCTCCATCATGGTGGTATTTAATTCATCATGCTCCGTTGGTGAAGGAGAACTAGGCATAGATCGGACAGATCGCGATGAACGTAAATTATATCCACCAGGCATTATAAAATTATTTCAAACGTAACAAAAAACTCCGTTTAATAAATTTGAAAACTGTTGTTGATCGTTTCTTTATTTTTTAATCAATGAAAAAATATTACAAAAAATTATATTTTTAAATCTATGTATAACATGTTTCAAATTTAGTTTTTAAACAAAGTATTTTTTATACAAAGTAAACTCAAAACTCCAACATATAGTCTAGTCTATAGTCTAGTCTATAGTCTAGTCTATAGTCTAGTCTATAGTCTAGTCTATAGTCTAGTCTATACTCTAGTCTATAGTCTAGTCTATAGTCTAGTCTATAGTCTAGTCTATAGTCTAGTCTATAGTCTAGTCTATAGTCTAGTCTATAGTCTAGTCTATAGTCTAGTCTATAGTCTAGTCTATAGTCTAGTCTATAGTCTAGTCTATAGTCTAGTCTATAGTCTAGTCTATAGTCTAGTCTATAGTCTAGTCTATAGTCTAGTCTATAGTCTAGTCTATAGTCTAGTCTATAGTCTAGTCTATAGTCTAGTCTATAGTCTAGTCTATAGTCTAGTCTATAGTCTAGTCTATAGTCTAGTCTATAGTCTAGTCTATAGTCTAGTCTATAGTCTAGTCTATAGTCTAGTCTATAGTCTAGTCTATAGTCTAGTCTATAGTCTAGTCTATAGTCTAGTCTATAGTCTAGTCTATAGTCTAGTCTATAGTCTAGTCTAGTCTATAGTCTAGTCTATAGTCTAGTCTATAGTCTAGTCTATAGTCTAGTCTATAGTCTAGTCTATAGTCTAGTCTATAGTCTAGTCTAGTCTAGTCTAGTCTAGTCTATAGTCTAGTCTATAGTCTAGTCTATAGTCTAGTCTATAGTCTAGTCTATAGTCTAGTCTATAGTCTAGTCTATAGTCTAGTCTATAGTCTATTCTATAGTCTTGTCTATAGTCTAGTCTATAGTTTAATATATAATCTAGTGTATGGCCAGGTCTTTAGTCTAAATTTTAATCTAGTCCATAGTCCTGTCTTGTCTATAGCCTAGTCTTTAGTTTAGCCTTAAGTATGGATAATAGTTTGGGCTATCTAGACTATAGTTACTACTGTGTTCTACTCTTTAGTCTGGACTATTGCCACTTGTATAGTCTAGTACTTTGTCTGGTCTATGGACCAGAGTTTAGGTAACTTATGCATAACATGGAACAGCCTTAATGAAATATTTGTTCTACTTACTATGATGCTTTTCTACGAATTCTCAGAAAAATCGATACAACATACCTGCAAAAAAACAGAAAAACATTTTCTATTATACAAAAAATTGTTAAAAAAATCGTACAATATATTTCTAATATAAATTTAATTAAATATTTATAACAAATATAAAAGTGAAAGGTTTCTTTTTTTTTAAATATTGACTTAAATATATACATATAGTAGGTGATGTTTTATGATTTACTTTTATTATAAACTGTATATAACGAATAGCAAATATCAAATGTTAAAGAGTTTTCTATGTTTTTTTGTCCATATACAGTAGTTTTCCGATTTAACGAACCCATATGTTGTCAGGCCTGTTCGTAAAATTGAAAAGTTCGTTATATGCAGTACTAACTAAAACGTGGGTTTTTGGTAGGAAAATAATTAAAAAAATAGGTACATAAAATATTTTTTAAATGTATTTTATAAAAATAGCACAAAACACAAAATTCCGAATCTTATATACCCACCTTCAACCATATTTGTGTCGAATTTAATCGCTGTATTTTTAATTCAGTCGTGAGCTTTAAAGTTATTTCTCGAAGTTCATCGCTATACTCGTATTTTTAAGCGAGTAATGAGCGTTGAAGTAATTTTCTTAAGGGGGCCTGATATGGAGGGTAAGGTCAATTATGGACCGATTCCCATAAAATTTGTTAGAGATTTCGGTTAGTATAGAACATGTTTGTATCGAATTTATCGGCGTACTCGTATTGTTAAGCGAGTATTGAGCGTTAAAGTCATTATCTGAAGGACGGACGGACATAGCTACATCGAACTAAAATTTAATAAGAACCCAGAATGTGTTACAGTTTTGGGTATAAAAGCACCGCTTAAAACAACGGTATAGTTTTTTGCTACAACTTAGGTTATTTGTTATTTTTGATAAATGTCATTTTATCTTCATTTAAATAATAATATTTTTATTAGTTCGTTAAACAGAGTACAAAAAACAAGATTTGTTCGTTATTTAAGGTAGTCATTAGGAAAGATTAGCTTGTTCGTTAAATGCGATGTTCGTAGAATTGAATGGTCGTTAAATCGGAAAACTACTGTAATATATTTGCTAAAGTCCGGAGGCAAATTTCATTTTAATGGATTTTTTGCAAGACAACAATAGCAACAAAACATAATGTTGAAGTTTAAGTAGGACCCAAGGCAATATTTGATATTTTAAGTTTATTTTTTTTTTTATTTTATTATTTTAAACATTTTAGGAAATGAAACCTAACTCATGATAATAACAATACAAAAGTGTTACGAAAGAGTGGAAAAATATTTAATTTAAATTATAGTCTTTTGTTTAAAAAAAACTTCAGCCAGATATTAAAACATTTGTATTATATTTCAAATTGTTCCAAGTATAATTATTTACTAATTATGTTTTAAGTATAGATTAAAATAATTAATTTATTTGCTAAGTAATACAATGTAGTTTTTACTTGTAGGGAATTTAATATTTATTGTCGTTTGAAAAATATAATAAAACATAAAACACTTTATACATAAAAACTAATTGTTATGAAAAAAATTAACCATTTTTTATTTGCTATATTTTATGCCTAATGACCAAAGTATGTACATTAAATGGCTATCAATCAAATTAATTTATAAATATGGCAATTTATTAAAAATTTTTAATGAAATTTAGCAAAAAAATAAATAAATTTTGTCTGAAAGCAAAACAACAATTGTGTTTAAAGTCTGAACTATAGTCTTGGACGTAGGCTAGACTATAGTCTTGTTCGTAGACAGCAGTCCTTTCCTCTCGCTAGACTATATTCCTATCTATGTCTTGGGCTACAGTCTTTCTATAGTCTAGAATATAGTGTTTTCTATAGCCTTAACTACAGTACAGGATTATAGGCTGCACTATAGTCTTGTCCATAGACTGCAGACTTTTTCACTATCTCGTCTATAGGTTTGTCTTTACTGTGGTCTTGTCTATAGTCTGGACTACTTTTTTGTCTGAAGTCTGTACTATTGCCTTGTGTATAGTCTGAACTACAGTTTAGTCTAGTTTATAGTCTATAGTCGTGTCAATAGTCTTTCCTATAATCTTATCTACAGGATTGTTGAAAGTCCTGTCTTGTCCACAGTCTAGACTACAGTATTATCTGTGCATTGTCTCGTCTGTAGTCTGATTCATAGTCTAGTCCTATAGTCGTGTCTATAGTCTTGACTATAATCTTACAGTCTGTCAACAAACCTATCTAAAATCTGGACTATAGGCTGGACTTTAGTCTTGTCCATAGTCTGCAGTCTTTTCCACTATCTCGACTATAGTTTTGTCTAAAGTCTGGACTACTGTTTTGTCTGAAGTTTTGTACTATTATCTTGTCTATAGTCTGAATTACAGTTTCGTCTAGTCCATAGCAAATAGTTGTGTCTATAGTTATGACTATAATCTTATCTACAGTCTGTCAACAATCCTGTCTAAAGTTTGGACTATAGGCTGGACTATAGTCTTGTCCATAGACTGTAGTCTTTTTCGCTATCTCGACTATAGGTTTGTCTTTTCTGTGGTCTAGTCGAATCAATAGCCTTTCCTATAATCTTATCTACAGGATTGTTGAAAGTCCTGTCTAAAGTCTAGACTATAGGCTGTGTAGTCTTTTTCAATATCTCGACTATAGTTTTCTTGTCTGAACTACAGTTTAGTCTAATTCATAGTCTAGTCCTATAGTCGTCTCTATAGTCTTGACTATATTCTTACAGTCTGTCAACAAACCTGTCTAAAAGCTGGACTATAGGCTGGACTATTATAGTCTGGTCCGTAGACTGCAGTCTTTTCCACTCTCTCGACTGTAGTTTTGTCTATAGGCTTTACGGTGGTCTTGTCTACAGTCTGGACTACTGTTTTGTCTTTACTATTGTCTTGTCTATAGTCTGAACTACAGCTTAGGCTAGTCCATAGCCTATAGTCTTGACTATAATCATATCTTCAATCTTTCTACAATCCTATCAAAGTCTGAACTATAGGCTGGACTATAGTGTTATCCATAGACTGCAGTCTTTTCCACTATCTGGACTATAGTTTTGTCTATAGACTGGACTATTCTCTTGTATATAGTATTGTATCTTCTATGGACTATAAATTAGTCTATTGTATGGATTATAGTCTTGTCTAAAGTAATTATGAACTATAGGCTGGTATACAATCTTCTTCAGAAGCTGGACTATACTCTTTTCTACTTTCGGGGCTATAGTTTTATCTATAGTCGGGACTATTGTTTCATTATAGTATCGACTATATTCTGGAATATAGTCGTGTACAAAGTCATTCCCTATAGTCTGAAAAAGTATGATCTGGACTATAGTCGGTAGTAGTTCTTGTCTACGTATTGCCTATAGTCTGACTATGGTGTTTTAAATAGTCAGACCTTTACACATTTTTCTCTTTTCTATGGCCTGTACGTATGATGAATAATCAACATTAATTATTAATCATACGTCATGTAATCCTTCAATAAACTTTCACTTCTTTAAGAAAATCAAAAGATAGTAAGTTTATAGAATAATACAGATCTAAATTTATTAAATTGAATTAGTTCCACAGTTCTCGAATTAGTAGAAAGAAATAGGGAAAACACTTTTCTTAATTATCCCTGCTACAGGATATTATTCTACTTATCAAATTTGTCTACCCTTTTTGTTTGTAGTTATATAAAAAACCTTTCGTTTCATAATATTTTATAATAATATTCCACAATACATTTTCATTAGAAAAGAAAAAAACGAATCCCAAATGTATTTTCACTTTTATTCCCTCAAAAACAACTTCCCCCTTTCAATTTCTGCATGTTATTGTTTATTTAGTTGTCACAAAATGTTTTCTTTTTTTATGTTTTTTTTTTTTGCTTCTTTTACATAAAATAATAAAAAATAAACTAACATATAAAACTATTGTTAACAATTTTAAATAAACAATATGCAAGCTTTTACACACCGTGTTTTTGAAAGCTTTTTTTTTATAGTTGTATTTTTTTATAGTTTATTTCATTTGTTTTCCGCTGGCCAGGAAACTTAGTATTCTCATTTGCAAGAACATCATGATGATGTTGTTGTTGTTTCACCATGATTTTTGTATATGACAACAATAAGGACGATGTTGATAATGTTGATGATGGTGGTAAACGTCATTGTTATTTTACCAGGTTTATTTTTCTAACGAGAAAAATACAAAAAAAAACAAAACTAGAGTACTTTTACTAATCAACACTTAAGGGAAATGAAAGCACATTTAGGAATAAAAAAAATGTTGTAGAAATAAAAGGGAAAATCTAAAAAAACAACATTGTAAAACTAAAAACCGCCAATTGTTTCCGTTTCCTTTTGTAGCTTAAAACAACACACAAAAAAATATTTAAACAATAGAAACATGTTTTTGCCTGTTAGCTTGTAAAACTAAACTAGAAAAAAAACAACAAAAACATGAAACAAAAACCTCTACTAAAAGCTATATTACAATAACAATATGGACAATTTTGAATATTAAATATTTGAAAAAAAATTTAACTGAACAACACAATTAGTGAAGAGCTGTTTTTTTTCGGAGGAAAATTTAATTTACTTAAATTAAAGAAATTCTTAATGTTTTCAAGATGTTGAAATATTAATCTATATAATTAAAATAATTTTTCCAGGGTAAAATGAAACTATTTTTATTAAGCCATACGTGGCGTATGATTAATTTTAATTAAGCAGTTTATTAAATAAACTCCTTCAATCGAAAATTACAGCTTTCAGAAAACGCTGCAAATGGGATTTTTATTGCAATTTCTTTCGAAATAAATAAAAAATATAAAATTTAAAACTTTCCCCATGACAAATGTAAAAAAACAGATTTAAAATATAATTTATAATAAATCCATATAAAACTATAAACACCATCTTCGACATTTAACTTTATTTTAAACTAGTAAAAACAAATCTTAAAAATAATAAGCAGCCGAATGAGAAAAGTTCCTTTTTTAATAAGTTTTTCTAGGATATTTCACAAGAAATAAAATTAATTCAAT